AAGAGAACAGTTAGGATTCAGGTGCATTTCGTGCATGATAAATTGGAACTCTGGACAACCTATAATCTTTGGTTTTACATGTAATAGAAAGGATTTCTGTTGCTGTCAGTGTGGGGTGATTTCCCAATACTACATATCCTGGTGCCTCCAGGACAGAAATTGAAAGAACATCACCTGAATTAGACACAGACAGCAATTAAAATCTATATATACAAAATGTAAAAATAGCTGAAGGTGAGGAGTATAAAATTGTCATAAAAAATATTTATGGGCTGCAGAGAGTTTATAAATAACGGGTTTTACATGCGGTTATTAGCCTAGTACCTCCAACCTATATGTATGCTAGTAGAATTTCATTTTATGTCCTTCAGGACAGTGACTGGATGCCGTTCATCACTCTGCTGAAACTATTAGAAAAGCTAGAAAAACAGTGTATAGCTAAAAGCAGGCCTTAGGCATATATTACAAGTACAGTAGATAGTACACATTAAATTAAAATATTTTCTATTTTGTAGCTTGTGTAGGAATAGCCAGAAAAGGATAATTCTGGGGCCAACTAAAGCATAGAGTATATTGCACCATGGAATAAAGAATGTTGTCTTTAAAGTCCATTTGAGCTTTCAGTTTGAATCAACTAAATACATTCCATATACATAATTTTTTAAGCCAGCATGCTGTAGAAAAGGACCTTTCCTCTTTGTGTGAAACCAATGGTTGCTCTGCAGAGGTCTGACACTCCCCTCTCTGCTAAGTCAGAGCTCGAGCTCTCCAATCAGCAGGGAGCATGAGCTTTGCTGATTGCAGAGCAAAAGGTCCGACTCCACAAGAGGCGTGTTGGACCTCTGGAGAGAGACCATTGCTTTCCCACAGAGAGCAAAGGCACTTCTTTGCACTGTGCTGGGAGGGGATGGACTTTTATTCTTTTTTATGGCTACTTCCTATAGATAATTAACTCTAAAACTTTGAACACCTTTTGCTTTGATCCATGCTGAATGTATTTAGCTGGGTATATGCATCAAGTTAGAAAGGAACAAGGCCAGTATTCCCTATGGTTACACACTCTATGGTGCTGAGACTGCCACTGCATGCTAACAATGCTCCTTCCTTGGGCAGACCTCGTAGTGAGGATCAAGTCTACAACCGAGCTGTGTTGAGTTATTAAGAAAGTTGATGAGGAAGGTGGGGGTATGGATTTTTGACAAGGTATAGAGGTGTGCAGAAAATTCACTCATAAGATACACATTAAGATACTGTTTAGAGGGTAAATTTATTGAACTGTAAAAAAAAACATTATTGAAAAAAAAAAATATAACATTCTTGAAGCAGCAACAGCTTGAAAAAAGCAGACACTGTATTTCAGGAAATGTCATGTGTTCGTAGAACCACAGCTAAGGCCACTGTATAGTAACTGTTTTGTCTGTTTCACTGTCCTTTGCTTTCTCCTCCTCATAGGAGACATTGAAAGCTCTGTGAGATGTTTTCCCATTGTCTTGTGCACAGGGGTTATTGCACCTGTTTATTGCTTCCAGCAGAAACGTACAGATGAAATATTGATATTACCAGGAAATTAAGTTACAGTAAATGCATTTGCTTTCCTTTTTCTTGTCCTGCTCAACAGAACATCCATATAAAACAATATAAAAAAACAAAACGATAAAGCAGACTTTGGTGAAAGAGATAAGGATTAGACAGACATAAATGAAAAATGTGAGAGATTCAGCTTCCTTGTAATAAGACACAATGGCGTCTATCGCCAAAAGCCTTTTATATACTGTTCTGATCCTGGAGTTTTCACACATTAATGTGGCAAAGCAGCTGATTGAACTAGCTCCATGGCAGATCTTTACTGTCTCCATATATTCACACTCACAGATGCATTTTGCCGATTAGATGAGTACTATAAAGGTGCCTACAGTGAATGTTTGGCCATAATGGTCAGTTGCAGTTGGATCAGGGCATTACTATGTCTGTAAGCCCTCCTTGGTGGCCAGGGCCAGATTTCTGCATAGCTAGCATAGGTCATGGCCTAGGGCAATAGGGCTTCCAGAGGTGGCACATAGCCTCCAAACATCTTCTTGTTTACCGTCAATAGCAAATTTGTATATGTAGTAAAATAATCCAGCTATCCTGCCTGCCAAGAGTAATTAATCTGGGTTACATGGTTGCACTTCTCTGCCATGCTAATAAATAATTGTTGGTGGAATAGTGCATGGTGTACTCATAGTTCACCCACTCTGAATCCACCTAGGACTGCACCACTAGCAGAAATTTTACCTACTTTTTTAGTCCATGGTTTTAAGTGCACTGAGGCATAGTGGAAAAAGTAAGGGAGATTTACTTAAGAAAGGTTAGAATCTCCAATCAATAAATGTAATGTACATTCCCTTTTTTATCCTATCATGTGAAAAATCAGATTCCCTTTTGAATACCCAGTCAAGTTCAGGTCAAATGAGTAAACAGGAATTTGCTTTTTACTTGATTGGTTAATTGACGTGACTATTCAATCAATATATTAAGATTCTTAACTCCACCCTCATTGTCTCTTCTCTCTTTCTCTATGCTCTGAGCCTCAGAATGCCTTATATGGTTATGACATGACTGATTTTTATAGTGTTACCTGGCAGGATGGAGGGTGGTATAAGACAGTTGGTCAGGAAAGGAAGGAAGTTAAAATCCACCCTTGTTCATGACCCCCGGCAGGGGGAAAGAATTGTTTAGCTGGGATCATTTTTCTAGCTGATCGTTGTTGCTTTCCCCTGAGACCGAAGTGTATTCCCCTCCATGGACAACTGGCTAAGACAAATGCATGATCATGAATATTTGGAAGCTGGATCATTCAATGACCAGATTGTGCATACAGGGCAACTGACATCTAATTTCTGTAGGCACCTTTGTTTTGTCTTAGTTTTCCCTAGGAAAATACATTAGATGGCTTTTATGATGTTGGGCCCCATATTGTAGTAGTTACCTAGCAGTTATATTAAGCTTAGAATTTTGGTAGCCTGCCTTTTAAACTTTTTTGGTATTTTATTACCATGAATTATTTGCTAATTTTAACATGCAAAAGATCTTGTTGATTTGGGAAAGTATTCTCTATGCAAAAGCCAATTGACAAAAATGATCAAATACGTTTTTGCTCCTTAAATACCACCAACTTCTGGCTGGTGTTAACAGGGACTTTATCTATAACAGAGAGGGGATAGCGCTACCTGCTCTCTTTCATAAAATGCAGGCCATGGTGTGGAGTCTGCAGTAGTCTGCTAGCTTATGGCAGAGTGAGCTCCATGACTAGAGGAAGTCCAGTCATGTGACTTAGATAGGTCATATTACCCGGCTCTTTTTTTAACAAGTTATGAGAATAAATGCCTCATGAGAAATGCAGGCTTACAATAGTTAGAAACATTCATTTAAAATGCAAAAATAACAATATCACACCAAAAGCAGTCATTTTTTTGTGATTTGAACATTTTCATGAAAAAATTATAATACAACAAAAGTAAAAGGAAGTTTGTTCTGCAAGGGAATACTATTTTGTTGTTTCCAAATGTACCCGTGTGTTATCAACCTTAGTTTTAATAAAAAAGGAATGTTTTCTGAATGGGTTTTCAGCCCTACAGCTCCAGTGTAGTTACTGCATATTTGTATCCATATATTATAAAAATCATTTGCTGTATAGAAAGAGATACATAAATAAGAAAAAATATAGAATTTAAAACTCTAAGGGGTATTTTTATAAAGCAGTGAATGTGGCATTCACTACAGGCATATCTTCCCGATGTATGTGTTCTAAATTACAGTGGTTTTAGTGAATGTCACACTCACTGATGACCTTTCAGATAAGTGTTTTATTCCAAAGTATTGTGAACCTATCCCTATTTATTCCAAAGTATTATGAACACACAATTTCAAAAAAAGTTCTAATATTAGTTATATAAGAGAAATATAATCTAAATAATGCTGTCTATTTACAGTCATAGACAACATGGTGGCAACAGTGCTGACAAGGCTATTTGCATTTTCTTATCAAATAAATTCCAACTCACAAATGGGACTATTCAGTAAGACATTGCAAAGAGAAATGATGATATGCAAAGTAGAATAACTCACAGCACCTAACCATGGTTCAGCTTGCCATTTTAGATCCCCCAAAGCCATATGTTTGTCTTTATAACTCTAAAACAGCTCTACCTGCAAAAAAAGAAAGTGAATACTTAATTTTCTGACTGTCTGCTCTGCCAGAATACCACTGCATTCAAGGCAAATCCTCTGCTGAGTTCCTCTGGGAAACCAACATTTTTGGGAGTTTTGATCTCCTTGGTCCCCCTCTGTGCTCAGTGGTTCTTACCTCTGACCTCTACTTTAAAATGGGACACAGTAGTCACACGGAGGGACCACTAAGCACTGTGGGGGAACAAGAAGTTAGACACTACCAGAAGTGGAGAACTTCAGTGGAGGTTTTCTCTTAAATGGAGCAGCATTCTAATGGTTGAGACAGCACAAAAGGTAGGAATACACTCTTTTGCTGGTGGAGAAGTTTGGCATATTTTTTAAAAGACAGGGTCACTATCGTTACTGAGCTCTGCTTTATCATTGTTCTTTGTCCATAATCAGGTAATTAGCCTTTTAGTGCAGTTTATGGCATTTATACATTTTTGATGCTTTTTTAGAAAGCCAAAAAAAATACAAGAACTCCAGTTTAAAAAACTATAGCCATGTACAAGGAACAATCCTTGAAACCAGTTCTGACTGCTCATCTTTTTCCTATTTCTCAAATAACCACATACCAAAAACTATATGTTCAAATTACAACATGTCAAACCATTTCATCAGTTTTTGTAGCTTCTTTGTGCTTATTAACACCCATTCATTAATCCAGATATAACCTACATTTTTCAGGTGATGCTCAGATTTGCTTTATCACCTGCAAGCATTGCCTAATATATGACCCGTTTGGGGCAATTAACCTCTACATTAACCAGTATATTTTCCTTAAACCATATCTACAGCACAGTGCTGATAGTATCAAAGTCTTTGGTTATCTGAGTACTGGGCAATGACTTGAGGTACTCCAAATGTCTCCTAGCATCCTCTTGGTTGTGTCTCACATAATAAACCACATATGTTATAACCATGGTGAACCAGCCAAACATAGTAATGAACATGGCTACATCAGTTGTTCTGTGGTGGATGTTACAAAAATTAATTCCAGAGTCTAGAACCTGGATCAGAGGTTTACCCACATACTCCTCCAATACAGAAGTTTCGCAGGAAATGTCATTGACTGTGTCCGGATCCAAATTCAACTCCCTTAACATCTCTTGAAGGCTGCAGTCACAGTGCAATGGGTTGCTGGAGAGGCGGATTTTGCCTTTTAGATTAGCCAAGGCTTCTTTGGGGATACTGTGAATCTGATTTCCAGACAGATCCAACAACCTCAACCCGTCAGCTACTCCTTTGAAAGCCGACAGCTCGATCTTCTCAATAGAGTTTTTTGAAAGATCTAGCTCTTGTAGATAGGTGAGATCTTTGAAAGCGTTGTTTGGTACCTGATGAATCCTGTTGGCATCCAGCTTTAAGGACACAGTCTCCATTGGAAGGTCTATAGGTATCTCTTCCAAGTTTCTGGAGCTGCAGTGGACCACTACACCTCCACTGTTATCTGAGCACTGGCAGCTCTTGGGGCATGGTGCAATAACATGAAAGTGGATAAGAAACAGTAGCAGTCCTCTTTGGAAAATAAATTCTGAACACTTGTGAGGCTGATCTGTTAGACGCATCCTGGAGGGTTACATATGCATTGTGTACAATCTTACATCCCTACTGTTCATCTGTGTTCAGCCCACTTGTATCTTGTTTAAATACAGTCAAGCCTCTGGACCAACGGGATGTCTTCTGTCTGTAGGCTGCAGCCTGTAAAATGAAAACAAAGTCAATTCATCTTTGTCTGAGGTTTCAATTCAGCCCATTTTAACTGTCTCATTCTCAGCAAAGAATAATATCTAACTTATGCATCTCTGTTTCTCCACAATAAAGAGGACATAAAAGTCTCAATTAAATAGCAAATGGACTGCTGCAGTAAACCATTTATTTGACAAATGCAGTTGTTTAGCTTTACAAGAGAACACATATCTCCTGACATTTCAATGGCCTTACCATCCACTAATAACAGTGACACATGAAAACAGAGGTCTGAATACAGAAAATGTTGACCTTGTGTGCTCTGTAAGTGGCACAAAACGAAATAAGTTATAGCTGATATTACTGGGGAAATTCTGTCATTCACAAGCCTTTTACAAAATAAATAACAATTATTTTATTATTCCAAAACTCCACATTAAAGATGCCTACAGACCCCTTTTGTTTTTATACAGCTATTCTGCAAATTTAACTTATATTGAAACGTTATCATGTACATATAATGGAGTTCTAAGAGCACCATAATATCTAAACATAAAGCAGAAGTCATCAACTTGCGCATCTAGATCGATTGTTCATGGACTATATATTGATAGTATCAAAGGAACTCCAGTATACTGGTAATTAATCCAGAGAAGATGTGTGCACTGATCCTGCAGTCAAGTTGGTTGGATAGGGAAACATCCATGTACCAGCACTGTGAAGTAAACATAGAAAACCGGTGCACAGATCTAAGTGCAGTGTAAAGTGACTATTTAATAAGGTTAACAGTAAAGTACTTACAGGATATTAAAAAACATCTCGCCTGTCACACATCAGATGAAAGTCCCATCTCAGCTGCTGGTCCAAGATTGCTATCAGGATATGGAGAGAGCAGAGTCCAGTTCAGTCCAGAAAGATTCCAGGATGCCTGTGCTGGAAGACACAAGTCTGATCCAGTGGCTGAGCACTGCTGTGGCTGGTTCTCCTCAAAGCAGGGTCACAGCTGCTGAGATAAGATTGACAAAGGAGGCTCAAGAGGCTTGACAAAGGAGGTGAACCTTTGAAACGCGTTGCCTAGCAACACCTGACACCTGTCTTCCAGCACAGGCTCCTGGAATCTTTCTGGACTGAACTGGACTCTGCTCTCTCCATATCCTGAAAGCAATCTTGGACCAGCAGCTGAGCTGGGACTTTCATCTGATGTGTGACAGGCGAGATGTTTTTTAATATCCTGTAAGTGCATTACCTTTAACCTTATTAAATAGTCACTTTACACTGCACTTAGATCTGTGCGCCGGTTTTCTATGTTTTCTTCATAATATCTAAACAGATGGGTGTACCTGGCCATGGTAATGTAAGTAGCAGCTGGATAAGGTTTTCTTTGTTGCTTTTGTTTTCTTCAAGTTGGAAAAAACATGGAATGGTCAGAAGGATGGGTCCATATTTTTTCAACTAAAGCAAGCTGTGACTATAAGGACTAATGTACTTTGGCTTTTGAGATCAGTAAACGTATTTTTTGTTAAATATTTTTAGAGCAACAGGTAAAGGATATTAGTCTGATTAAAATATTCATGTTAAAATAATCTTATTCATTTAACATTCTAAAAACCTTGTTTCTATGTGTTATTTTTCAAATTGTTTATTAAATACACAGCTTCTGTTCTGCTTTGCAGCGCTACATATTTGTTGTGTTTTACAGCTTCTAGGGATGATATTTCATCTCAGCAGCTGTAAATAAGGGAGGCAGAGGGATTTCAGATTGAATGTTTACTGCTTCCATCTGCTAATCTAAAAATATACAATTCTCTATATTTAATGCAAAAACAAAAATATTTAACAAAGTCAACTCAAAAATTGTTTTAAGGTGATTGATAATTCAAAAGTGTGCTCACTAAAAATATGCTATACTTTTCTTTTAACGGTGAACTATGGGCTGGTGTAAAATATACACATCCAGTAGCCACATACCCACACTGCATCAGTTGAATGCTTGTTTTGTCTAGGGGATGATGAATAACATAATTACTTACCCTATTTTTCGCTCCTCTGGCCGCTGGAACTCTCTAAGATGCCCATATATAATTATATGCATTATAAAAAAGTGCTTTCTCACAGTAAAAATGCTGCTTCCTGCACTCACACTTCAGTGCCTATGCTGGCGGACCTGAGTAGCAGCCACACTCCTCATCATGAGTGTCCTGACATAGACTTCTATTGCAGCAAAGGGGATGAAATGTGTCTAACCAGGTCTGCGTAAATTACTAAGAGCACTGGGTCCTTTCTGGTGCCTATTGGACTGCACAGGCATATTTAGAAACCCTACACAACTGCTGTAACAGAAACGTGAAAATAAACACTATCTGACTGCTTATCCTTTTCTGTGACCTCAACTTGATTTTTAAGCCTCTTCTAAGAGAAATATGGGGACTAACATTGCTGACCCCTTCTTAAAATACTGGTTGTAGGGATAAGTTTTAATTTGTTTGTGAAAATCATGAATTTTATATGATATGTTGCTATTTTGGGGAAATGTATTGCAGTGAATTGAGAAGGTAAAATGTAGTTTGTTTTTCATGGTATTTAAATGATTCTGGAAGATTTTAAAAGCTTCTTTTAACTATTTTGGGACTGTTCTTGAGTTAAAAAAAATGGAAACTCATTAGCTTTGTATAAAAAACAGTACACATAATTAAATGTACAAAACAAAAAAAGTACAACATTAAATGAACAAAACTACCCTACACATACTGAAACATTCCACCTGTTCTTTCCTAAGCAAATTTCGCTGTTGCTTAATGGGTGAAATTCTGTGAAATGAGTAATTTCATGGCAAAATCAATTTAGCCAAATCACTCCATTCACCCCTACCATGGCTGCTATGCTGAGCCATTGAATTCAATTGCAGAATGAGAAGTCAATGGCAGCCTCCATATTTACATAGTTACATAGTATTTGAGGTTGAATAAAGACATTAGTCCATCAAGTCCAACCTATTAGGATCTCATTCTAGGAGTACCCGTACCCCTGTATATTACGGTCCCTTAAGAAATCGTCCAAAAGTTTCTTGAACAATTCCACATTATTTGCTGAAATCACCGCCTGTGGCAGTGAGTTCCAGACCCTAACTGATCTTACTGTGAAGAACCCCCTTCGCCCCTTGTGCTGGAATTTTTTTTCCATCAATTTTAGGTGATGGCCTCTAGTTTTTGTAACGGAGTTAATTTTAAACAGTTTATCGCTAATGTTGCTACCACCATTAAACATTTTGTACATGGAAATCATATCCCCCCTTAATCTCCTCACCTCTAATGTGAACATGTTTAAATTTAGTAGCCTCGTCTCGTAGCTCTGGTCCTCCATACCCCTAATTAGTTTGGTTGCCCTTCGCTGGACTTTTTCCAACTCAAGGACATCTTTTCTTAGTACTGGTGACCAGAACTGGACCGCGT